CAGGGTTGGTTCCATGGGAATCTGCAGACTGTCCCTTGCTGGAAATCTCTGAGGTTACTTGGCTTCTAGAAGCATCATCCCGAGCTCTGTCTCCAGCTTCACGTGGTCTTCTCCCTGCATGCATGTTGGTGTGCCTACACTTTACATTTTTAGAAGGACAAAGTCTTTTCTTTCTCTCTCTCTCTCCTTCCTTCCTTCTTTCCTTCTTTTCTTCCTTTATTTATTTATTTTTTAAGCTGGAGTCTCACTCTGTCACCCAGGCTGGAGTGCAGTGGCACGCTGCTACGGCCACCGCAGCCTCGACCTGCTGGGCTCTGGTGATCCTTCCACCTCAGCCTTTCAAGTAGCCAGAACTACAGGCGTGCGCTACCATGCCTGGCTAATTTTTTGATGTATTGTAGAGATGAGGTCTCACCAAGTTGCCTGGGCTGGTCTCAAATGCACAGGCTCAGACAATCCTCTCGTCTCGGCCTCCCAAAGTGCTGGGATGCCAGGCTTGAGCCAGACAAACTTTTTTCATCAGCGACCACCTTAATCCAATGTGACTTCATCCTAGCTTGATCAGGGATCTTATATCAGAGACCCTATTTCTGAGTCAGTTTCATTTAGTGGGTAAAGGGGTTAAGATTTCAACCTCATTTTAGGGGACACCACCCAGCCCAAAGCAATGTGTGTTTACGTATACCCTCTCACCCTGACAGCAGCCCTCCAGGGGAGGTCCTGCCTCTGATTTTCTTTTCTTTTCTTTCTTTTTTTTTTGGAGTTGGAGTCTCACTCCGTTGCCTAGGCTGGAGTGCAGTGGCACGCTCATGGCCACCCCAGCATCTACCTGCTGGGCTCAGGCGATCCTTCCGCCTCAGCCTTCCAAGTAGCTGAAACTACAGGCATGCGCTGCCATGCCTGGCTATTTTTTTAATCGTAGAGATGAGGTCTCGCCAAGTTGCCCAGGCTGGTCTTGAACCCGCGGGCTCAGGCAATCCACTCACCTTGGCCTCTCAAAGTGCTGGCATGAAAGGCTGAGCCATTGAGCCTGGCCGGCTCTGATTTTCATTGAGCAGAGGGACTGCTGGGGTGGTCAGTTGGCCCAGAAATCAAGGTTAACTTGCAACCCAAGCCTTTCTGACCTCCAGGTACCTGTTCCTTCCAGAACTTTCTCAATGGTTGCTCTTGGCGTTTCCTGGAGCAGATGGGGCTTATGTGGGATTGGCCCTGCCCGACTGAGCATTCTTGCCCCTGCCCACTAAAGGACACTGGCCACCACCTTGGTGATCACCTCCAGGGGCACAGACGTCCCCTGGGTGGTGCCACCCCCAGCTCTTGCCCGCTTGCTGAATCTTCTTCATGGGCTGCAGGGAGGGAAGCAGGGCCCTCTGGGGCTGCTGGCGGCTGAGGGAACTTTTTTGGAGAGTCCAACAAAGATTCCTGAGCCAGGAATGGGTGAGGTACGGGTCCCCACCTGGGCGTGACCGATATAGCCAGTATTTTGCATGTTGAGTGTCCAGAGACGTCTCCCTCCACCACAGACAGGACAGAGGGGACGCCACGGGCGGTCTTCTTGCTGGGGATGGACCACAGACTTTGAGAATCACTTTGAGTTTGGCCTTGGACATGGGAGAGGGGCAGATCGGAATATTCACGGGCGTGCGGGGCATCAGGTGTCCTGTGTAGGGCAGCCTCTGGTTGCCCACTGAACCGGTGCGCATTGTTGACAGAAACAGGATCATTTTCCGCAGTGACCAGCAGCTTCCCGGGCCGGCTCGGGAAGATGGCTGAGGGTAGGAAGAAAGGCCCTTGGGCTGTCTCGGGTCCAGACCTGCGGCATCCCCAGGTAGGATGTTGGTTTCAGCAGCCTCATTTGGGCCTGAGTGCTTCTCCAGGGATCAAGCGCGCTCTTGAGTCCCTGCTGACAGCTCTGCAGTTGACGATAATTTTAACTCAACACCAGTGAGAAGCCATGGTGAGAAGCGGACCTGCCCGGCTTTTGCATTTCCTTGACTCACGGGAGGGTCACCTAGGAGGGACCTGGGAACTCGGCCAAGTTCTCCTTCTTCACGGTGCGATTGTGTTTTTGGAGTGTTTGTCACTGGTCTGCGGGCGGGGTCGACGCCGTTTAACTTTTCGGAAATGAACTCCTGTGACAGCTGATTTGATTTTCCAGTGAATCGTTCTTTATAACGGCTTCCCCCTCTCCTTCGGGAGGGCTGATGTCTGTGTTGTCAGAATTTTTCTGTTCAGAGTCCGTGTGGGCTGTGTGAAGACTCTCCCGTCTGCCAGGTTAGGAGACGAGGCTTCCACCCATATCTGAAATTCCCAAGTGCCACCGGGGTCACAATCAAGTCACATGGTGATACACCCTGGCTGTGGTTCTCAGTGTGTGTTCCCCAGACGGGCAGCAGCAGGGCCATCTTGGAATTTGGCAGTGATGCAGGTTCTCAGGCCCCAGATCTGCAGAATCAGATGCTCTGTTGGATAGGGGCGAGGGAGTCCAGGGTCTTTGTTTTAGTAAGTTTCGGAGTTTGACAGCCAGGCGCGGTGGCTCATGCCTGTCATCCCAGCACTTTGGGAGGCAGAGGTGAGAGGATTGCCTGAGTCCACGGGTTCGAGACCAGCCTGGGCCTCTTGGTGAGACCTCACCTCTGCAATAAATAAAAAAATTAGCCAGACATGGTGGCACAGGCCTGTGGTTTCAGCTACTTGGAAGGCTGAGGTGGGAGGATCGACTGAGCCCAGGAGGTTGAGGCTGCAGTGACCACTGCACTTCAACCTGGGCGACAGAGTGAGAGTCCAACTCAAAACAAACAAACAAACAAATAAAAATAAGGCCGGGTACAATGACTCACGTCTTTAATCCCAGCACTTTGGGAGGCCAAGGTGAGAGAATTGCCTGGGCCCACAGGTCTGAGACCAGCCTGGGCAACTCAGTGAGACCGCATCTCTGCAATAAATCAAAAAATTAGCTGGGCATGGTGGCTTATGCCTGTAGTTCCAACTACTTGGGAGGCTGAGGCGGAAAGATCACCGGAGCCTAGCAGGTTGACGCTGGGGTGGCTGTGAGTGTGCCACTACACTCTGGCCTGGGTGACACAGTGAGACCCCAACTCAAAAAAAAGTACTGAAGTTTGAGACATGTGGTGCAAGGGGGAGGTGCCCCGAGGCAGAAGGGCATTATGGATGATGTCATGAGTGGCTTGAGGTTAGAGGTACACGTTTGCATGTTTCCACAGGTCAGCCTTTGACCAATGCTGTCCTGATCATAAAAGGCGCGAGCCCCGTGGCGTTCCCAAGAAGGCAACTCCCCTTAGTACCACCTGGCCACCCGGCAGTCAGGGCTGCGGGCACCTTGGCTCGTGCCACTCCACAGCTCAGCCCTCAGTGCTCACCTTACAGAGAGAAATTCTGGTGTAAACACCTCACGGTCCCATTCAAGCTCGGGTCCCCAGGACCTGTGAGTTTTGGGAATGCAGCCTGGGCTTCTCTTTTGTTTCCCTGAGGGATTTTTTTTCCAGTTGAGGTCTCGGTGCGTCGCCCAGGCTGGAGTGCAGTGGCACGCTCACGGCCACCGCAACTTCGACCTGCTGGGCTCAGGCGATCCTTCCGCCTCAGCCTCCTGAGTAGCTGGAAGCACGGGCGTGTGCCACCACGCCCGGCTCATTTTATGATTTATTGTGGAGACGAGGTCTCGCCAAGTTGCCCAGGCTGGTCTCGAACCCCTGGACTCAGGCAATCCTCTTGCTGCAGCCTCCCAAAGTGCTGGAATGACAGGCGTGAGCCGCTGCGCCCGCCCCTGATGGTTTTTAATTCATATATAACATCGAGAGAAATGGGATGGGAGAGAGAGTTAACACACCAGACAAGGGTAAACAGGTGAGCAGAAGGATGTTCCCTGGGTTGGCATGCATGGCATATCAACGTCTCACAAGGGACAGTCTTTTGAGGCAGGCAGAGCTTCCTGCAGCCAATGCCTGGTGCTTTTTACAAGTGGCAGCCAGGCAGTGTCTGTTAGGAGGGTTGTCCCCTGCTAAGGGCTTAGTGGAAGGGTGTCTGCCTGATCATGGCCTTATCTGGGTGGATGCCATCTTGATTGAAGAGATGCAGCATCTTACCCTTGTCGGCGTGATGCCTTTTAAAATGCCAGATGGGGCCGGGTGCGGTGGCTCACATCTGTCATCCCAGCACTTTGGGAGGCCAAGGTGAGAAGATTGCCTGTGCCCAAAGGTTTGAGGCCAGCCTGGGCAACGTGGCGAGACCTTCTCCCCACAATTAAAACAAAAAAGGCCAGGTGTGGTGGTGGGTATGTGTAGTGCCAGCTACTTGGGAGGCTAAGACAGAAGGATCGCCTGAGACCAGGAGGTCGAGGTTGCGGTGATCCATGATCGTGCACTGCACTCCAGCCTGGGTGACAGAGTGAGACCGCGACTCAAAACATGAAATGAAATGTGCAAGATGGTGTCTGTTTCCAAGATGGTGCCGCCTATGTCAAGGACGCTGTATACAGATCCACAGAAAGACGCTGCAAGGACTGGAGACTTGAGTCCCCCGTAGAGTCAAGGCCAAAGAGACCAGTGCCTCCATACCGGCTGTTTTCCCCTTTATATTTTCCAGATGTCCCTGCCCAAGCCACCGGTCAGCTTGACTTTTCAGCCCCAAAAGCCACGTGATTCGATGCTCAGAAGGACTGTCAGGGAGGGGTGGGGACAGCTTCGAGTTTCTGTCCACGCGCTCCCCGTGGGCGACTGGCCTGGCGCCCTGCGGCCCTGACTGGCCATTTCTGTTCCTCTCCGTTTCCTGCCTCATGATCTCCATGGGTGACCGGTGTGTCACTCTGCGCCCCTGACTTGGCTTCTGTGTTCTTCCTGAGTCTCTGTCCACACGCTCCCCGTGGGTGACCGGCCCTGCGTCCCTGACCGGCTGTCTATCCTTCCTGAGTCCCCGCCACGCGCTCCCCATGGGTGACCGGCGTGGCGCCCTGCGTCCTGACCCTGTCTCTTCCTTCCCGGCAGAAATGCCTCCGCTTCAACCCGGACGCCACGGTGTGGGTGGCCAAGCAGCAGATCCTGTGCTCACTCAACCAGAGCCTGAAGGACGTCCTCAACTACGGGCTGTTCCAGCCGGCCAGCAACGGGCGCGACGGCAAGTTCCTGGACGAGGAGCGGCTGCTGCGGGAGTACCCGCAGCCCACGGGCAAGGGCGTGCCCTCCCTGGAGGTAGCTCTCTCCGCCGGCCTCGAGCGTGGGCATGTCTGGTGGGCCACAGTAGTGATGGGAAAGACCCTGGTTCGGCTGGACCTGGCCCCGTTTGGCCTGGGAGAGTCAGTCTCGTTTGGTGGTGGGTTGCGGAGGGTCTTGGTGCGAACTTGGGTCCCGTTCAAGGCCATGCCACCAGGACCTGCGTCCAGGGGTACAAATCGGGGTTATTGCCTTCCACTCCGGTAGGTTGTATTTATTTTGTGAGTCGGGGTCTCACTCTGCTGCCCAGGCTGGAGTGCAGTGGCAGGCTCACAGCTCACCGAAGCCTCAGCCTTCTGGGCTCAGGTGATCCTCCCACCTCAGCCTCCTGAGTAGTGGAGACTATGCCTGGCTTAATATTTTTTAGGTTTTTTTTTTGAGAAGGCAGGATTTATTAAGAGGACAGAAAAGCTCCCGCAGCGAGAGGGGACCCAAAGGGGTTGCCTTTTTTAAGGTTTTGTAGGGACGAGGTCTCCCTGTGTTTGAACTCCTGGGCTCATGCAATCCTCCTACTTCCGTCTCCTGAAGTGCTGGGATTACAGGCTGTTTTTAAGATTTTCCCTCCTGACCCCGAATGTGTGCTGTCTTTTCCGTCTCTACCTCTCCACCTCTCCAGACCCCAGCTGGGCGTCGAGCATTAATTCACTTCTGACACCGACTGCCTGGAGTCAGCCTCGCTACGGGTTTAAGGGCTCAGTCCCACAAGTCTGCCCTCCCTCCCGACACCTGTGAAAGTGCTGGGTTCCTGGGGTCGCCACACTCCTGTCTGATTTGTCTGTGATTCAGGAGTTCCCCCCATGCTCTCCTCAGGTTCTGTCATTGGCTAGAGCAGCTCACAAATCTCTGGAGGCCTCTGCCTAATGTCACCTGTTTATGGTGAGTGACACAGACGAACTGGAAGGGAAGGAGCATCTGTTCCCGCAGTCAGGAGTGTGCCACCCTCCTGGCACATGGATGTGTGTCTCTCCAAGCCCCACTGCTGGGGGAATCTTTCTGGAAGTCTCATCACGCAGGCATGGCGGGTGAAATCATCGGCCTCCTGGAGGCTGGGGAGGGAGACTGAAAATTCTCACCCTGGGGCTTTCTAGCCACGGCCCCTGTCCTGAAGTCCCCTGGGCATCAGAAGCCATCTCATGACTCCCCCAAGAGAGTTGTACCACTTAGGGGATGCAAGGGTTTTAGGAGCCTTGGCAGGGATTAGGCACAGAGGTCGAATATTCTGGGTAATAGGTGGCCATGGCCTCTGGCTGTCCTCAGCACCACATGCTTTCTGGTTCCGGCCCTGGGAGTGTCCTGTAGGTTTTTTAAGCTGCTGCCACCAGCCACACGCTCTTGGGATCCCTTGTGGGGTAGTCAGTCCCTACGGAGGGCCAGCCTCAGGCATTCCAAGTACAGCATCGCCCGTCCCTCCCTTCCTGAACCCTGGCTTGCCGCACCCTGAGTTTACATGGCTGGACGTGGCCATGATCTAAGGCAGACTCCTGGAATTTCAGACTTCTCATCTGGTTTCACTGCCCTTACAGAAGCGATTAGCTGCTGAGATGAATCGTGCAGATTTTCTGTCCCTGGGCTGTCACCTCCCACCGCAGAGAAGGCTTTATGTGACATAGAGGCCGACTCCAGGACGTCAGTGTGAGAACGGAATTAATTTTTGACGCCGGGCTGGAGTCTGGAGTGGAAAAGACAGCACGCATTTGGTAAAACCATCAGGGTCGGGCATGGTGGCCATGCTTGAAATCCCAACACCTGGGAGGCCGTTGCTTCCAGCAATGCATACGTGGTTGCCAAGAAGCCAGAAGCATGGTCATCTCTGCTCCCACCCCACCCGTTGCTATCGTTCGTAAGCGACTGTGCCTAGCTTGTCCTGGCCAGTGACAAGAGGCTGCGAGTGTGTCATCTCGGCTGGTACTTGAACAGCCTAATGGGTTCTACAGTCTCCTCAGTGACCGGACGTGATGGTGAAGTCCCAGGTGTCAGGGACGCCGATTCAGAAGTCAGATGACACCTCTCCCGCACACGTTAGGTTTCCATGGTGACTCTGAGACTCGGGTTGTTGGGGTCCCCAGTGTGGACCGTGTGGGGCTGGCAGTGGGGACGTCTCAGTGGAGGAGAAGACGGGATGCTTCGGTGGAAGTCATGTGATTTCAAGCAGATCACTCGGCGGTCCTCACCTCCATCTGCTCTCTAGAATGGGCATTTAGGGGCAAAACTGGCCATCATCGAGGGCCTCTTAAGTACCAGATGCTGTCCGGGCCCATCCAGCTTGCACAGAAAGTCAGGGTTCTGGTCCCGTGGGGCTCATACTCTGGTGGGAGGGGACGGCCCAGGGCCAGAAACTCCTCACGGTTCATTTCAGAGGCTGGTCATTTTCATAAGGACAGGAGCTCCAAGCGCCCCCTTCGGATCTGATCCCAGCACCCGCAGTGGTGCGAACTCCAGCCAGCCTCTCCGAGCCCCAGATTGCCAGCTATAAAACCAGGAACGTTAGCAGTGACTTCCCAGACTGGCCGCGGGGCTCAAAGGAGGTTTTGCCCGGAGCAGGTTGCCTGGCTAGGCCCGGCCATCATTCTGCTCCTTGACTGTCATCCTGCCAGTGATCCCCGGGAAAGACTGACACGGGCCCGAGATGGACACGTTATCGCACCAAGCTCTTTGCCTCCAACAATTTCAGTAAAATACCGCGGGCTACTTAGGAAACCTCGGGAAGACAACAGAAAGGCGATCTGTGGTTCTGAGCGGGTGCCTTTCAGCCACGAGCTGTGTTTAAAACTCTGGAACATTCTGCCCCGGAGTACCTGCTTCCTGCCGGGAGATGTTATGGCCCACACAGATGATCTCAACCCCTGGAAAGGGTCCCCCCAACCCCCTGCCCTGGTTGAATTTGCTGGGACGTTTCAGGTGTGGCCGTGTGATCGTGAGTCTCTGACTGAGACGGGCACCGTTCTCAGCAGCTGCGGGACTCTGGGTCTGAGACGTGACTGGTCCCGGGACACGGACACACGCCACACAGCTGTCCTGGCTGAATCCAGAATTGGGGTGGGAATCCCATCACGGGCCCTGTCTAAGGAGATGGTGTGTGTCATTCTGGCAAGCATGCTTTCTTCTGGGAGATGCATGACCTGAGTCTCTCAGAACTTCCTGATCTCACAGCTGGTTTATTTTGGCACTTAAGAAAAGAAAAAGCTTCGGACCTTGCAAAAGAATTTTGTCCTTTGTTGAACTGCCATTTTTTTTGGCATGGGGCGGGGGGAGGAGACTAAGGTTATCTATACTTTGGGAACTTTGAATGGGGTTGGCTTTCGGTTTCAGGGGGAGCTCACCCAATTGCCCCGCACCTCCGTGCTATCCAGGGACAGTTTGGCTTGGCCCAAACGTGCCACCTTGGAGGGTGACGGTGTTGAGGGAGGCGGAGCAGGGAGGGACACGGTGGCATTTGTCCAGTGCCGGGTCTGGGCCAGGAGGCCCACATCACCCCTCGGTTCGCCCTGGGAAGTTGATGTTGTTATCCACGGACAGATCAGGAGACCGAGATGACAAAGTGTCCAGCCCCAACTGCTGGGCAGGTGAGGGAAGAGGCAGGGACAGAGTCGGAATGGATGTCCCGACTGGACTCAAAGCCTCCGTGTCAAATTCCCTAATAGGACGTGACCATCCCTATGATTATTCTAGACATGTGCCTATGTGGGACTGAATATTGACCTTTAATCATGTAAATCATCTGGGAAACACCGGTTCTTTCTCGGCTGCAAGGCTCACCCACGTTCACGCCAATAATAAATTAAAAAAAACAAAAAATGAAAACCCTTCTGTGTCTCCCAAGCCCTCAGCGTCCTTCTCAAACCTTCTTCATCGTCCCCAGCACGGAGGGCTCGGAGCGCTGGGAGAGGCAGGGGGTGTCCGGGGGAAAGTGTTGCAGACCCGCAAAGGCGACCAAGGACAAGGACACGCTGTGTCCCTACACCCGAGGAAGCTGTGCCTCTCAGCGCAGACAGTGTGGTTTCCGGTTCCCAGGCTGCTCTGCCGCTTGGGAGAAATGACCCAGGAGCGTCGCCGTCCTGGGCAGAGGCCGGGGCGTGCGTCGAGGTGGGATCTCTCACCAGGCTGGGCCTCTACGGCGGGTTTCCGTGAAGGTGGATGACGTGGGAGACGAGTCTGGTGTTTGAAGCGGCACCCCAGGGACTGAAAACACCATGCCAAGGGCAGAGAGACCCCCCCAGAGCCATTGTCACCTGAACCGCCAGGGGAGAGCCCAGCTTTTCTCCTCCATCACTGAGTGTGGGGGGCCGGGGCCGGGGCCAGGCCTCTCCCTGGGGAGGTCCTCGGTCTGCCTCTCTCTCTGTTGTTTCTTGTTGTGGGGTTTTCACTCCACGGCCGCAGAATCTTGGCAAGAGGGATGCTTAGGACATCGCAGTTTCTGCGGTGCAGATGTGTGTCGTTAATTTGAGCCTGCGAGAGTCGGCGGGGGGTTCCCCGTCTTCCCCAAAATCACCAAGGAAGAGGCCGGCTTCTTCTCGGAGCAGCGTGTGAAGGGTTCACCTCTTTGTTTTCTCTTTTATTTCTGCTTTTGCGCTAGTTTCGATACAAGAAGCGGGTGTATAAGCAGTCGAACCTTGATGAGAAGCAACTGGCCAAGCTCCACACCAAGGTAGGGTGGGGCAGCTGTCATCTGCATTTCTGGGATTTGACTTAATGTCTTTCCTTCTTTTTAGAGGGTTCCTTTTCGGGGGTGCCAGCTGTGCACCCGGCATGGCGTGTGGCGGGACTGGGATGGATTGGGCACTGGGCCTTCCTGCCCCATGGCGCACGCTGTGAGAACCACACTGCCACCCAGGAGGCAGCTGGGATTGCTCAGTTGGCCAGTGGGGGCCTGGGCGGGGAGCCCGTCCCACCACTGGCTGCTGCAGAGAGGTGCCAAAAACAGAAAAAAACCAAACTAGTGACTAACAAAGATTCTTACATTTACAAAATGACAAATAATAAGGAAACTCTTACTAAAACTTCCTCTGCTTATTTTTTAAAAAAAGAACTAAAATCAGTTGGAAGCAATATGGCCGCCTGGCATCTGCACAGCAAACTTGCTGCTGTCACTGTGTCAATGTCCACTGTGTGTTTCCTGCTAACTTCCTTGAAATTTACACCTGTGACCCATGGGGCGGCGTGGAGGGAGAACGCCTCCCACACAAGGACTCTGCAGACCCCTTCCTTCCGCCGGTCACCTGCCGAACCCAGTATCCACCCCGAAACCTTTTATGATAAAATCACCTCATTAAAGACAACACAGAGGCCAGGTGTGGTGGCTCTACTTGTGATCCCCGCACTTTGGGAGGCCGGGGTGAGAGGATCGCCTGAGCCTGGGGGTTCGAGAGCAGCCTGGGCAACTTGGTGAGACCCGTCTCTACAATCAATCAAGAAAAATTAGCCGGGCATGGTGGTGCGTGCCTAGTTCCATCTACTTGGGAGGCTGAGGTGAAAGGATCACCAGAGCCCAGCAGGTCGAGGCTGCAGTGACTGTGAGCATGCCACTGAACTCCAGCCTGAGTGACAGAGTGAGATAAAGACTCCAAAAAAAAAAAGCGAAGGAATAAGCATGGCCATTTGTGGGGGGATCTCGGTTCCTTCCAGCAAAGCACCCTGGGTGACTCACAGGCAAGACGTGTGTTTCTCCCAGTTCTGGAGGCTGGAGATCTGAGCTCCAGGCACTGGCAGACGTGGTATCTGGTCAGTGCCCACCTCCTGGACCAGTGGGCGCCTTTCTGCTGTGTCCTCCCATGGTAGAGGGGGCGAGGCAGCTCTCCGGGGCCCTTTTACAAGGACACTAATCCCATTCCTGGGCGCTCCACCATCATGGCCTTGCCACATGCCGGGATGCCACGCTCATTATTATTATTATTATTATTATTATTTTTTGAGTTGGGGTCTCAGTCTGTCGCCCAGGCTGGAGTGCAGTGGCACACTCTTGGCCACCGCAGCCTTGATTTCCTGGGCTCAGGCGATCCTCCCATCTGAGCCTCCCGAGTAGCTGGGAGGCGTGCGCCACCATGCCCGGCTCCTTTTTCTTGATTTATTGTAGAGAGAGGTCTCACCAAGTTGCCCAGGCTGGTTTCAAACCCCTGGGCTCAGGCAATCCTCTTGCCTCTGCCTCCCAAAGTGCTGGGATGACGGGTGTGAACCACGGTGCCCGGCTTCCCTTATGGGGGCCACGATCCTTAAGTCCAAAACTCAAGGACAGCGGACAGTGAGGGGCTGTGGACACATCCAAGCAGGACGGGCTGGCGGTCTTTGCCGAGTGCCAAAGGACTTGGTGCTCAGCCTGGAATTCCAGACTCACCCCAGGGTGGCGGTGCGCCCCGGCAGGGGAGGCTTCCCCTCTACAGAGGAGGCCAGAGCGGACCACGGTGAGGGCCGTTCTCATGGCTTATGGAGAGTTTTCATTCATTCATTCACTTGAGAGTTTTGGGGTATGACAACTCTCAGACTGGCTGCAGGGGAAGCTTGGGCTTCCAGGGGGCCCTCTCTGCCCCTGGTGGGGGACTTTGTGTTGTCAGGTGCGCCCCTCCTGGAGACGTTTCTTGTAAAGACACGTCCGCTTTATGGATTTCCTTCTAGACCAATCTGAAGAAATGCATGGACCACACCCAGCACCGCTCAGTGGAGAAGATCGTCAAGATGCTGGACCGAGGCCTGGACCCCAACTTCCACGACCTGGAGACCGGAGGTGGGCGCTTGTGGGAGGCCACCCGGCCACGCTTCACGACAGCATGCGAGACATTTTGTGCTCCGGGGACATGGGACCTCCTCCTTGGCTTTGCTTGGTTTTTTTTTTTTTTTTTTTTTTTTTTTT